TTAATATGTAGATTCAATTTAAAAAAAAAAAAAAAAAATCTAAGGGAGGATAAAGGTTGAGTATTCCTACCTCAATAGTTTTTACAAACTATCCTCAAGATTAGTTTCAAAATTGTGACCACCAAGCACCCTCTCCTCTTCCTCTCTTTTTCTTTTCTTTTCTACTCTTTCACTTTCTTTTTTTTTTCTTTTTTTTTTTTCCTCTCTTTGCTCAGCCATAGTAGTAGAATGGCTGAATAGTGTTCTTATTTGTTGGAGTTTGGAGGCCTATTTTTATTTTATTTTTATCCTTTTGGCTTGGGAAATATTACCTACATGTTTAGGCTTAAAGTGTAAATGTATGCATGCCTTAGCATGCATTGGCATGCCTCCAGCAGCCTTCTTGGAAAGGAGGGGGCCGAATTTCCCTGCCCAAAATCTGACTTCATATATATATATTTTGTGTGTGTGTGTACAAAATAAAATTAATGTATATATAACCTATTCACTAGATGTTTTGCTCCTTATTATCCTCTAACTAACTTAGTTATTATTTGTTTAAATCATTTAGTTTCCACAACTATATTTAGACACAGAAATTTAATCGCATAACGATAAATAAATTTATTTAAAGGAGTTTAATATTAGTATTAATCATGATGCTATTAACATTATAATTTAATAATCACTATTAATTGACTTAATATTGTTATTAACAAACTAATTAGTTGTCTAAAAATTCAAGTTCTTACAACTTAGTTTTCATTCCATCTCTCATATGCCTTGTTTCACTTCTTTTTGCATGCCGTTGGAGTTTCGAAAGTTGGCAAAAAATAAAATTTTTCTCTGTTTGGATAAAATTTTCAGATTCAAACCCACATGTTCAAACCTTTGTATCTCTCTCGTCGTAATTCTGTTTAGCTTCATTTTTGCATTCTTGGATTCATCCCATGGCCTAATTTTCATTTCACCTTCATATGCCTTGTTTCACCTCTTTTTGCGTGCCGTCAAGGCTCCAAAATTTGGCCAAAAATAAGATTATCTCTCTCTCTCTCTCTCTCTCTCTCTCTCTCTCTCTCTCTTTCTGTGTCTATCTTTTATCTCCATGCTTCTTTCTTCCTCATTCCTTTCCACAATTATTCTCTTTTTTCCTCTTCCTTCATGGCCTTTTCCCCACTCTTATATTTCTTTCCCTTCTCTTGTAAGTCTCTCTCTCTGTGTCTATCTTCTATCTCCATGCTTCTTTCTTCCTCCTTCTTTTCCACAATTATTCTCTCTTTTCCTCTTCCTTCATGGCCCTTTCCCCACTCTTATATTTCTTTCCTTTCTCTTGTAAGTCATATACCTTCATATTCGATGGCACTGCCACCGTTGGAGATTTAGTGGCCACCATGAGCTCGGTAGAAGGTCCATGAAAAGGAAAAAAGTGAATAATTGTGGAAATGAAGGAGGAATGAAGAAGAAAGACACATAGAGATAGAAGATAGAGGAAGAAAGAAAGAAAAAAGTGAAAAATTTTATTTTTGACCAATTTTTGGAGTTTTGACGACATGCAAAAAAAGGTGGAATAAGGTGTATAAAGGTGAAATGAAAACTAGGCCATGAGGTGAATCTAATAATGCAAAAATAAGGCGAAACAGAGTCACAATGAGAGAGTTACAAGGGCTTGAACATGTGGGTTTGAATATGAAAATTTTGTCCAAAGAGAGAAAAATCTTATTTTTTGCCAACTTTTAAAGCTTTGACAGTGTGCAAAAAGAGGTGGAATAAGGCATATGAGGGTTGAAGTGAAAATTAAGCCATGAGGTGAATCCAATAAACGCAAAAATGAGACAAAACAGAGTTACGATGAAGGAAATACTAGGACTTCAACATGTGGGTTTGAATATGAAAATTTTATCCAAAGAGAGAAAAAAATTATTTTTGGCCAACTTTTGGAGCTCTAATGGCGCACAAAAAAAGGTAGAACAAGGCATATAAGTGATGGAATGAAAATTAGGTCATGAGGTGAATCCAGCAACACAAAAATAATGCGAAACGGAGTTACGATGAGAGATATATAAGTGTTTGAACATATGTGTTTGAATCTAAATATTTTGTCAAGATTCTATTAATTCAATGAAACGGATATGAGGGTTCACATTAAAACATGAATAAAACTCTAGGGTTTATTTTGTCAAAATTAAAACCCTGAGATTTAAATTTAAAAATAAGCGAAATCCTGAGATTTTTTTTTTGTAATTTGTCCAAATATTATGTAAAATTAGTTAGTATTATATATTTGAACAATATTATACAAATTAATATTATATATTATACAAGTACTTAATAATTATTTAAGATTATTTTCAATCAACTAGCAAATTAAAACCACTTAAACTACAATTTGATTATTTATCAATCCGTTTTTCACAATTTGATTTATAGGATTGTTTTGAGAAGTAAGTTAAAAGTTGACTTTTTGAATTATTTTTTATAAAAAAAAAACGTATAAAAAAGTAAAGAGATAATATGACCTAAAATAAATTAAAAATAAAAAAATAACCCTTATACTTACTTACCAAAACAAACCATAATTTTATCCTCAAACCACTTCTAACCGCACCACGCACCTCAATAAAATTAAAGAAGGGTTTATTGTAATTTTTAATTCCAAATATTTTTATTTTGATAATTTTTTCAAAAAATATATGGGAAATTCTATTTCCACATACCTAGATACTTCAGTGCACATCTTTTCTCAGTATACACACTTAGTAATTTGATTATTAATTTTTGTTCTCATTCCACACACCAATTATTCCAATCATACCCTTAATTCATTTCTTGTATATACACTACATCAACTCTCTTTCTACACACTCAACCCTCTTTCCACACAACTATTCAAAGTTAAAGAGTAACAGTCTACCCTATTTCGATTCACAATGAACACAGTGAAGGAAACTCCATTGAAGAACCTCCATTGACACTAGCTCCATTGAAGACCCTCCTCCTCCATTCGGCACTCTAGTTCTGAAATCTGTTGGAGTTAACTATTACTTTGTTTTGATTTCGTTATTTCATTTGATACCATTTCGTTTTCTCTGTCGAGTGCATTGACAAATTAGAATAAACCCTCGTTTTTTTCTTAAAAGAGTTGTGATTTTGGGAATTCGGCATTGGTTTTTTGAAATTTGTTTTTTAATTTGACACTTGGTTTCTAAAATTGATTGATTTGTTCGATACTGTAGTTCCGAAATATGTTGATTTGTTCGACACTGTAATTCCGAATAAAATAGAATATTTCGACACTGATTTTCTGAATTAATAGCCAAAAAAAAAAACTTATGTACAAAAAAACTAACTTTTTCATTACTGTTTTTGCTATTACTAGGCATATTTTTACTTGGTTTTAAACTTCTATTGGTTTGAGAGTATTACTTTGTAAGCAATAGAGGAGTATAGAGTGTATAGTAAGTAAAGTGAGAAACAATGGAAGAAGTAATAAATAATGAATAAACTAGGGTTTAGTTCTTTTTTCACTCAAAAGATGTACATTGGGATTTTTTTTATTTTTAAAAGATGTGTGCAGAGTAGAGGTGGGCGCAGGTCGATTGCGGCCATGGAACCTCCAATCTGCCATCCATCTGCCAGATTGGCGGATTGAAGAAAATCAATCTGTATCTGTCCGCTAATCCGACAAATGTGGATTGAGCAAATTGCCGGATGGATGCAAATCGGTTTGGTGGTTTAAAATTTTATAAATTTTTAACGTAATTCAACTTGTACACTTTCTCAAAAAAAAAAAATATTATAATCAATGATTTAAAAAAGTATTATAATCACTGTATGCCTCATCCAAAAAAAGAAAGTTTGAAATTTTAGAATATAACAATCACTTCATGCCTCATCCACTTATTACAATCACAGAATACTTCATCTACATAAAGTATTACAATATGTGGTTCTTAAAATATAAAAACAATTCAAACCACAAAAATCATGAATAAAGTAGTAGTAGAGATTGTATGTATCTGTATTGTTACATCTATATTTATTTTTGAAAACAAAAACCAACCACCATATATCATCTTTTTTATTTATTATTTTTAGAGTTAGATTTAAAAACTAAAAAATATAAATAAATAATACATTTATTTTTTTCAATTCAAAAAATATATTCAATTTGAAAATATTTTTTCAATAAAATATTTAAATTCTTTTTCAATTGAAAACACAAAATTTTATAAATTATTAAGGGTGCTCGCGGTTTGACGGTTCGGTTACGGCTAAAGGAATCTTAAATTCGTCATCCATCCAAAACTAGACGGATTGGAAAAAATCAATCTGCAACCGTCCGCTCGTCATCACGCATCCATTCAAAATGTGGCAGATCGGCTCGCTTTGGTCGGTTTGGACAGATCGATATATCCGTTGCTCACCCCTAGTTTAGAGAATATTTTAATATAATATTATCGGTATAGATAGATGTTCATTATAATCATTTTAATTTAAGATATAATTGCTGTTAAAATAATATTTGATTAAGGGTGTAGGGTGAGTTAATTTGAAAAAAAAAAAGATTAACGTGAAATTTTCTACTAAATAAATGATCAAACACTTACGTGAGACATTTGATCATTCGATTGGTAGAAAGTGAGTGTTTGGAAAGCGAATTTTTTTGTAAATTTTTTTAGTTGTAGGATATTATTAAAGAATTTTTTTTTTTTGTATTTAAAAAGATAATTAAATTTTTTTATAATTAAATATGATATTTGTGAAAAAAAAAAAGTGAAATAATTATTTTGTAACTAAGGCCAAGTTTGGCATGATTGAAAAAAGACAAAAAGTCAAAAAGTCACTATACTATTTAAGTCACATCATCTTATTTAAGTCACATCATCTCTCTAACACATCACTTCAAATCCAATCTATATTTCATAAAAAGTCAAAACGTACACTTATTTAGTCTTTCCAAACAAGGTTTAATTTAACTTTTAGTTAAAAAAAAACCAAAAAAAATCCAACCGAAACACCGCCAAAATATCTCTATCGTTACCCTTTCCCAAAATATATAGATAAGGCTCAAAGAACAGACGAAGGGACACGGGGGACAAACCTTCTCTTCAATTTTCCGGCGATTTCTCAGCAACCAAACAAAGCTTTCACTTGCTTTCTTAAAATCGGTTCGTGTAAGTAATGGTTATGATCACTTTAGTTTTTCTCAAAAAGCTAATTTGTTGTTTTCCTACAATTCAAGACCATTCATTCAATTTCACAGCACTCACATCTCATGACAATTGGCGCTGAGTTCGATTTTCACTCAGAAGATTTTTTTTTTTCTTTTCTTTTCTTTCTTTCAAGCAACAGCACAAAGAAATTCGTGTATCACATCCCAAGTTGAAGCCCTATCAAGAAGGTAATTCAAAACTAATCATACTCTCAAGTCTGATCTACAAAATATAAATTGGTCTTTTGGTATTACTCCTAATTTAAAATCATTAGGTTGTATTTGGTTCATATTGGGTTTGGTTCATGAGAATGGAGATAACATAGAATAATCATTTTATTTTAACATGCATTCCCATTCTCATGTTTGGTTCATTAAGAAATAAATACAGTTCATTCAGAAATAATGAAACAATATAAATATTGTATTTAGCGGAAATTATAAAATAAAAATAAAATAAAAATAAAAAATCAAGGTTTGACCTTGTAACAAAATAATTTTTAATTTTATCAATTTAAACCCTAAAATTTTGATTTATTTTTAATCTAAATCATTTCCTATTTCCGGTAAGTAAAATTGACGAAAAAATATATTTTAATCATTCAACTTAATAATTTTACTTAATGAAAATAGGCTGATGGTTTAGATGAAAAACAAATCAAAAAAATTACAGTTTACAATGACAAAATTAAAAAGGGTTTACATGGGTCAAACTCTGTTTTATTTTGTTTTGTTTTTTCGTTTTTTTTTTTTTTTGTAATTTACCTTTATATTTATTTAATTAGTTACTAGAATTTAGTATTGGTAGAGAGTCATGGGTAGAGTGTGTCAAGTTGTTTTCCTACTTTTTAGAGTTGTGAATTGTGTCAGGTAACCAATGCTTTCAAAATCGGACCGGTGAGCGAACCAGAAAATGAATCAGGTTGACGGGTTACCGGTTCAATCGTCGGATCAAAGTGGTTGAACTGTGACGTCATAATTAATATTATATAATTAAAAAATATAACTATAAATTATAAATAAATAAAATATATACAAATAATCAAGTAAAAATAAAAATTGTTGCATAGTATTTATTAATAATATTTAATAAAGTCATGATTGATAATAAAAAAAAAAAAAGCCACTTATTTTAAAGAAATTAAGGGTTCGTTTGGTTTGTATTTCTGAAAAAAAATTTAGGAAATTTTCTCTACAAGTAAGTTTTTAAAAGTAATCAAACCAAACAAATTTTCTCAAAAAAATTTCTCAAAACTTGTAAACCAAACAAGTTTTCCAAACAAATCTCTCTCTCACACACATCAAATCAATCACTTTTTCCAAAACTCTCTCTCAAAATAATTTTCCAAAACATCTTTTGAAAAAAACCAAACCAAACAACTTTTCGTACTTTTTATCTCTAAAACACATCTCTCAAACACAAACCAAACATACCCTAAATTTTTTAAACATTCCTGCCAAACAAATTGATTGAATGTTAGATTTAATTTTGGAAGGAAATGAAATTTTCAATCCTTCCTCCAATCAATATGTTTCAAATAATTTGATTGAATGCCATACAGAAATTTGTAGGTTCTCTTTGAAAAATCTTTTCCTATAAATAGGATTAGATTTTCATAATCTTCTCAAATTCTCAAATTTTCACTGAGACTCTTCCTTATGAGATAAGACTCTTGAAATAAGAATTTTTAGTCAAAATTTTGAAATATATTTATTTATATGTAAATATATAAGAAAGAAAGAAAAGAATAAAAAAAAAAGAAAAAAAAAAGAGGGCCGACCCTCCCGACCCGGTCCGGGTCACCGGTTTTCACCGATTTTGCTCCCACTCCGGGTTTAGGGGGTTGACCGGAGCGGAACAAGGCCCGGTTCTCGGTCCGACAGGCCGGTCCGGTCTGGGTTTGAAAACATTGCAGGTAACGAGGCTCGTGTATGTAACCAACGATTGTTAATGAATAAAAGATGTTAAATATCGTTATGCATTAACTCCTGTGAAGTTACAGAGATTTGGTTCTCCTCAAAGTGAACCAACAAAAGGTCCTCCCTTGAAATGGGTCTTTGCTATTTCTTTTCATGTTTTGTTTTTTGTTCAATTTATTTCAAAAAGTGTTTGTATCAATAGGAAAGACAGACTAGGTGATAAAAGAAAGGAAAAGATTATGATTTCTCATCTAGGTAAGAAAAGAAGAGAAATGATTATAATTTCTCACTAGTATGTTTGGATGAACTAAAAGTAAAAAGGACATGTTAATTTTTGTTTTCTTTGTTTTGTATTTAGATGTGCAATTTAGGTATTATGAGAACTTTATATAAAGCATTTTTGGGTGATTCTAGTGGACAACAAAAAGAGCTCATCACAACACCCCCCCCCCCCCCCCTTCTTTTCCCTTTTTCAAAATTTTAAATTATGAATTAATCCCTATCTAAAATTATCAAAAAAATGCTAAAACCGTAAAAATTTAAAACACTAATTTCTCCTTCCACCCACCCCCTTCTCCACCAGATCGCCACCATGCCTCCCCTCCCTATTGATCCCTCTGCCACCACCCCTAGCCACCTCTCCCTTTCTTGCTGCCGCCCTAGCCACCATTTTTTCTTTTTCTTCAAATCCTAGATTTGAAAACCTAAAACCCTCTCTTTCTGAGTCAGGGCTGCTGCCAGGGTAGTGTGTCATGGGGGTGGGGGTTGGTTGTGGGCCTAGGGAGCTATTGGCTGCATTGTGAGGAGGAGGACTGTGGGGGTGGGAGGTTGTGATGGCAGTACTCACAGGGTTGGAGGGTTGCTGGGTGGGTCATGGTCATGCTGTGGGGGGTGGTCACAGGGTGGGGGAGGACTGCTGGGTAGTGGTTGTGGGGACTGATTGAGGGCTGGGGGTGGTGGTCGGACGAGGAGGAGGGCTGAAATGTTTAGGGAAGAGGACATGTTTGGAATTATGAGGGGTGTAAAGAGAACAAAATGAAAATTTTAAATTTTAGAATAGGGTGTAATTAGAAAGTGTGTAATGAGCTATTTTTGTTGCATAATTAGAATCACCCAACCCAACATTTTTTTGTTTCTCACCAAATCTCACCACTCTTGGTGAGAAACAAAACATGAGTTTTTAGAGACTTTTTTATTTCTTGCAGTTCTCTCTCTTTCATGCAATTTCTCACCTCCTTGATAATCCAAACAAGTGATAAACATATTTCTCTCTATTTGTTTTCTTCTCTCACCAATCACCTCAGTCCAAATGGGCAGTTACAGACAGAGATATACATATATATAGCATTTCATTTGTTAGAGAAGAAAGGATGATTGTTGTTTGTACAGATAAGAGCATCTCCAATGGAGATGTCATTTCTTTAGGTGGCATATAAAATGGTAAAAAATGAAATAAAAACAGCTCCAATCATAATGCCAGATATGTGGCATTTGGCATTACTTCTCCCATGTCATATTTGACATATAAAAAAGGAGATGCCAGTTTTGTTTTTTTTTTTTATGCTAATATGTGGGACCCTTATGAAATGGATTTTCCCTGTGATACATTTAAAACTAATATGATAAGTTGTTATATTAAAGTAAAAATATAATATAATAATAAATTTGACATATTGGGTGCAGTGCTTACTTTCAGAGGTGTCAAATTTATCTTTGACATAATTAAATTTGAAAGTTTGGTTGGAGATACCCAACCGTTGTCCTTGCCTATTGCAGTGTAATGAAAAGTAGAAGGGCCTATGCAAATTGGATAAGGTGGATTTACATTATAGTTGGGCTCGTGCATGCATGCACACAAACTGACAGAGAGTATCCAAATGTGGAGGGACTTTTCTTTCTTGTGGTGATGAAATTTTCAGCAAATTAAAATTAAGTGGAAGGAACTGTCAATTTAGTTGATTGGTTTGGACTAAATTTGTTCAAATTTTTACTTAATGGGAAAAATATTAAACATATATTGAGTCAATTGTTTGTATTTAATTAACAGTAGGTTGGTTTGTAGTTTTTATTATATATTCTTTCTTGATATTGTTCATTTTTAAAATAGAATTGATCTAATAATAAAGCTTTATTCTTTGGAACGTTAGATAAATTCAATCCAATTTATTATAAAAAAGTTAAAATAGAAAAAAGGTCGTAGCGATTGCACAAGCCTCCTACTTTTTTATAGGTCTGGGTTGATATATCTAAATCAAAGTTCAAGTTATTGGATGATCCTATTGAAGAAAATTCATGGCTCCGTTACTGATGGTAATGCTGAGGAAGAATGGGGTTGGGGAGTTTGACCACTGTTGGTGACATAGAATGCACACAGCCCCATTTGGTTATCTACCATATATCTATGTAATGCTGTGTTCAAATTGACTCTCTTTGACTCTTATTATCATTTGGGAATTTCTTCACTACATTGGATGCTAAATTTCTGAGCTTTTTGTATTATGCATTCATGTTATCCGTACATCCTTTCATACAAAGTAACCTGGGGAATAGTTTTTGTTGGGTGGATACTTTGGCAGTTGTTCCTTACAATGAAATTGAAAATCCCCAGGATGGAGAACCCATTGGCACAATCTGTTGAAGATCTCCGGATAGATCTGAAGAACCAATGTATGTTGGATTCCGGAACAGCTGAATCTGAGGTTGATGAATTTTGGCCACTATCAGGGAAACCTTACTTTCATGTGTTTCTTGCTAAATCTCAGCTGAAACCCTTGTACCAACTGGTAATCACTGCCCTTATCAAATCCTATGATTTTAATCCGAAGTTTTTAAAGGCGAATGTGTAAGGTTAGATGTTTTTACCCCTCGTGAGATGAGGCATAAGCCTCAAGGTGTAGAGGTGTAATGTCAGATGAGCACAGTTAATGGCCACTCAATCGCACACTTTATTTTTATGAAGGCATATTTGTGAGCTATGCTTTACTAGAAATTGGGGTCACTGATATGTTAAATGAACTTAAATTTAAATTATAGAAGTTTCTTTGATTGTGTCAGCATCTTCCAGTAAAAGCCCAACCAGTGCTTCCTAGTTCTAGAATCCCCGTGGTTCTCACCTATCGTGGCAAGAACTGGGAGATTATTTTGCATGGAGATAGCAGCCGCAAAAGGTTTGACCCCCCCAGTTGGAGAACATTTGCCAGTGACAATGATCTGAAGGTTGGGGATGCATGTTTATTTGAACTCGTGGAATTCAGCAGCTCAAATCACAAGTTTCGAGTTCAAATTCTCAGAGGTGATTTCCCATCAGTGTTGTTGGAAAGGGTAAATGGTGAGACTCCAAACACTCCTATTGTCGTTGATTAAGATCTCGATGCTGATATGAGGATTTGTCTAACTTTTGTGACAAGATTATGGCAAGTAACTTGTAGGTATATGTAATTCGTATATGGATTGTTTGCTGTTTTCCATGTTTATGTATATGGGCTTCAAGTTTTTTGTATGAAGATCATCTTTTTGTGCACAAAATTTGTGACTGGACTTTCTTTCCTATTTTAGGCATGTGTTGGGTACCTTGATCTTGTCAACAAAGCTATCCATTGTGTCTCATACATCCTCACTCATGCACACACTATTTATTTAAGAATGGAAGTGTGAATAACAATATGTTCTAACAAACTGTTAGTGAAACTGTAAAGGGGACCAGGTCAAGGGTCATTAGTTTAACCGATAGGTTAATTGTAATCGTATTCTTCTAATTGTAATATTATTGTTTCGTGCTTTGTTATTTGTTTTATTTTTTAAACTATTCATCAATCACAAAAGTTTTGCTTTACTAGAACGAAACTTATTGTTACACTTTATGAACATGAATTCTAATAATCAAAATATTAACGGTTGTTATATCATTATACAATTAACATTGGTGATATCTTAATTAGGAGTGTATTTTGGACGGGCTTAACTCGAGCAACTCGAGTTTATTCTGAATTTTTTTAGGATTTGGACAAGATATTTTTAAATTTGGTATAGACTTGAGCAAAATTAAGTCCGAATTAAATTTGGGCGAGCTCAAGTAAAGATATCAAACAATCTGAAATCCGAATTTCACATATATAGATATATAAAATTATTAAATATACATATAAATTATTAGCTATTACATTATATTAAAGTAATAATTTAGATTATTAAATTATATTAAATATATATTATATATATAAGTAACACAAAATTTTATTTTTTTATTCTCACTCATAAATTGTAAAGACTATTATAGCGGCATCTTTTTTACATTGTATAAATTATTTATTTTGATGTTATTAATGATTTTTTATTTAAAAAAAATGTAAATAGAGTCTAATTTTAATAATTTTATAATTTAGTTGGAAAAAAAAATAAAATAAAATTCATTTACAATTCAGGCAATTTGGGTTTAACTCCAGTCGGGCTTGGACGGACAACTTGGGGTTACAATTTAGGCTTGGATGGGCCTGAATAGGTCTTAGCACAATTTGAGCTGGGTTTGGACAACCTCCCAATGCGACCGTATTTGCCCGAGTTGCATTCCTAATCTTAATTAATTACTTGTAAATATATCGTTCTAGTTACTGTTTGTTTTGTTTTTTTTAGATTTTGGATTTCGTACTAGTTACTTATTCATAAATATATTAAAATTATATTTAAATAAAAATTATAAGTATTCAGATGTGTCCAATTAAATTATTTTTTTATATTTTAATATACTGCATATATATTTACATTGATTGATTAATTTTTTTATAATACTTAATGTTTGAAAGAAAATTCATTGAGGGTTCGTTTGGTAATGACTTTTTTAGTTGATTTTTGAGTTTTTTTGAGTTTTTTAACTTGAGATTTTTTTATTTGTTTGGTTTTCTTATTTGGCTTTTTTGACTTTTTTGCATTGAAAATGAGGAGCCTCTATTCACGCACCATATTTTATCTCAAGGCAAACCATTACTCAAGACACACCTATAATAATTTAATAAATAAATATTTTGCTCAATACACACCACATTCTTCCACATTTACCCTCACTCACTCACACACACACCCCACTCAAAATCTACCCACAATCTTCCAACTCTACCCTCACTCACACACCTCACCCACCCCACGATATTCCATTTCCCCCCATTCTCCGTTTGAATAGTGAAGACCCATTTGCTAAATATACTTTTTTCCTCATCAAAGATGTTGTCAGTGTTCGGTGGTGCTCAACACAGTTGGAAACAACTCACATTGGAGATACAGTAGGTGAGTTCTCATTTAGCTTAGATTTTAGGATTTTAGGTAGTTTTTTCCATTGCCATGAAATTTGTATTCGCATGATTGACTTTCCGTACCATTCGACATTGGATTTTCAAACCCCAAACATCTGTTCGGTCAATTTTTGTCGAACAATATGGAGTTCGACACTTGACTTTCGAGCAAGAGCATTTTGTCTAGTCCATTTCTGTCGAACTTGTTCGATCTCTTAATGTCGAACATGAAGTACTAATTAATTCGGATGTACAATGCCGAACAATAATAACATGTTCGATGTTGTACTGTCGAACACTACAAATTTTATTTTATTTTTCTTCTGTCTTATTGATTTATTTGTTGTGAACAGTAGTTAGAGGGCCAGGCCTATTCCTCTGATTAAATGGAAAAGTCTTTGTGTTTTAATATGTAAAGCACACAGGTGTTCTACGTCCAGATCCAAAATTGAACACTACAAAATTTGGTTAAACAGTTGCATAATCTGGTTCACACAGAAATGATTCAGATTTATATCACTAACAAGTAAATGAACTAGTGATTGTAGACTTCTATAGCTTAATGTTTCTTCAGCATACAATAAACAAATAATTTCTTTGTTATTTATAGGGTAACTAACAAAGACAACTATACATTCTTCACCCAAAAAACAAAAGGAAAAAAAACAAAAACAAAAAAAGGAGAAGGAATTCGTAATAGGTGCTGGAAATTGTAGATGCTCAATTTCTAAAATGCATTGTATAATTTATCAACGAGCAGCTACAATAGCCATGTAGCCAATCAATACATTAACAGAGAAATATTTATTACCATATGAGATGTTTCATTTTTCATTGGAAAAATATATCATCATCAGCCATCAACTTATGAGCCCTCAACTCAAAGGGACACTCGCATTTTTTTGTACTCGTTATCTTCACAATTTTTTTGTTTGAATCATTTCCTTTTAATTTCTTATGAGCTCTGTATTAACCACTTCTCTCACAGGCAAGATATATTCTTGGTGTCCTATGACCACCCCCATAGTCCGATGTCTTGATGACAATCACAAACCCATTTTTTCTTCCAATATCCTATACCCAACCGAGCAATTCTTCTTTGCTCTTGAAAACCTACAAGTCAAATTCACCAAAGTCATTAAACATGCGAAAAGAAAAAGAACAAAATACTAAATTTCGACATGAGACTACTTCATTAGTAATAAATTGACTTGTGTAGTCAACACGACCCCAAGATCCAATATTACTACATTCCAAGGGCGCACAAACAAAAAAAAAAAAAAAAAAAAATTATCAGTGTTCGGCAGTAGAGAGTCGAATTAAATGAAAATGTTCTATTGTTTTTAACCGAATATATGGTGTTTGTTCAATACTTACAAACCGAGTTATTGAACTATGTTTGACACTATAAATCCAAACAAATACAATTTGTTTGATTGTAGGTAGTCGAACATTGATACATTATTCGACCCTGGTTAACCGAATTAATACAAACAGTTTACCACTCAGCAAATAAACGAAAACGAAAAAAGAACAACAAAAAATAACCTTTTCCTTGCTCCATTGTTCCGAATTAGTATTGCCAGATGCATCATTCATTGAATCCAATCAAAATCTTCAATAATACTATATTTTTGGTTATTTGTTTGAGGGTTTTTGAAGTCTTGATAGACAAGATACGTAAGTAATAAGTTTGAGATTGTTGATGTGTACTATATTCATTTTTGTCCTTTATGGTAATTATACAAATGGTGTGTATCATAACTTGTCCTCTATAGTCATTTCATCTAAGGTTAAAATTGTAATAAAAAATAAATTAATTAATATTGTGCCTTAAAAGGAAATGAGATGTGTAAATAAGGCCTCTCTTGGAAATGATGTTCCCAAAGTGAAATGATAAAATTGCCCTCCACTTGGAAATGATGCTTTTTTGAATTTTTGTTTGTATATGGGTCAGTTTGGTAATTTTACATCCCAACTCAAGTGTTTTAGTATTTTATGATTTTATAGTTTTTTTTTTTTTTTTTTTTTTTTTTTTTATTTAATCCACAACAAATGTCAAACCGGGACTGAATATAACAAATGTATGATGAAGTAATAAATAATTATCCATGTCAAACGCGCTTACCGTTTTAGCCTATTTTCTCAAGTCAAGCTGGCGGTTCGAATGGTTTTATAAAGGGAGGTTTATTAGAAAAAAAATAAATTCAAGTGCTTGTATTTTAATTAATTCATAAGTTATTTTCGTGTTTTAATAAGTTCTATTATTTGAACATTTAATCAATCAAATCTTAATTTTTATATTTAAAGTATTTTATGAACATTTATACCCTTACAAATATTATTTGAATGGTAAATAATTTAGTAACGTGAACATTCATATTTTACAATGTGAATATTCACATTGACGTATAAATTTTCACATTGACAGTGTGAACATTCATATTGACATGTTAATATTTACATTAACGGTGTGAACATTCACATTAACGGTGTGAACATTTACATCATGAAACATTCACATGATAAATGCAAATATTATTAGGGGTATTTTAGTAATTATGTCACTCGTAGGATTTATTGGAATATAAAAAAATAATATGGACTAAATAAAACATAAGAAGATGAAAAATAATTTATGAAAAAGGGCCCCTTTTATAAAAATGGGGAATCAAAATTCAGTGGTCTTTAACCTTTACTGTCTCTAACAACCGGTTCAAACGTTCATGTCTCTAACCTTTTCTGCTTCTAGGGTTTTCGTTTCGGAGCGCCGTTTGGGGTGGGGGAGGGGGGCTCCGGCCTCCGGCCGCATCTCTCCTCCTCTCTACCTCTTTTTTCTTCAGTTTCCCTCGACCTTTTCTGGTCAATAAGCCTTAGAAGCTTAGCTTTCCATCTTCTCCCTCCTTGTGAGGTGTTTCTTCCCCTTTCGGTGGATTTAGTTTGGTTTTCTTCACTCCTCCTTCCTACTGCCTTATCCCAGCCGAAGCCTTCACTAGATCTGTCGGCTCCATTCTCTTAGTTTCACGCCGGCATCGCCACCACCACATCGACACCATATCTACCTCTTCTTGCCGGATCTGCTACCTCCACCACTGGCCTCCTGGGTTCTCCTCCTTCAACCCGTTTGGTGAAGATCTGCTACAGATCTGCTGTCACGACCCAAACCCGCCCATATGGGTTTAGCACCGTAACCGGCCAGTAAATTCGTGATTACCAAAGGCTTGCTTAACAATAATACAGAGTACAGGGGCTGGCGGAAGCTAAAACAGTAACAAAAGATGTCCAATGAGTTGTGACAGTTTGTAT